ATGGCAGGGGCAGAACGGGAAGAGGAGATGAGAGGACGTCCAGAAGCTGGATGTAGCTCCAGCAACTTGCTTGCAGTGGTCCAAACTGCAACCAGGATTGTCTCCTGGATGTGGCAGTAGGCTTCTAAGAGACCATTAGTGCCAGAGAAAATGCAAACTCTTATTTGGCAGAAGTGTTCTTATCCAGACTTTCTTCTGAGTCTCAGATGAAAGAAGAGAAAGAAACAAAATTTAAAATAATCCCCAAACCCTTAAACTGATCCGTAAATGTTCCCTTGCCATAGGACTCTTGATCTTTTGCAAACATATATAGGGGTCTTTGACATTTGTGCTCTGACACCTTATGCACTAGAAGAGGAAAAAACCCCAAAACCCAACATTCTTTTAGTGAATCTTTATGGTGATTCAAAACACTTTAGGTAGATCCTGTCATATGCTTTATAAGTTCCTGACTGATTGTGTGGAATTAAGTTATTGGGCAGAGAACCAGCTAATGGAAACACATGGATGAAATCATTTTTGAGGGACATTAAATGGAACTTAAAATAAAGCTGAAATGGCTTTATGGATTTTTCAGTCAAACTGTTTATGAACATTTATCGGTGGTAAATTACACAGTGTCAGAAGAGGGAATCAGTAGGTATGGCTTTTAATAGAAGTCACTCTGATATAATACTGTGAGAAAGAATAATTTATTGCTTAGGGATGTACAGTATAGTATGTTTAAATACAAATGATATGATTGCTGTCGCCTAACTGACTTTGGCTGTTTGCAGGTAAGTTACCCTTAGCAGCAGCAGAGTCTCATAAGATGAAAAAAAATATTTTCAGTACTTTGCAATGAAATAGAAATTTTGTATTATGCATTTTTCATGGTAGATAACAAATGTTTTAATAACAGATAATTCAGGAAGCAGAAGCCATGTTGTACAATAATGAATTTAATTTATGTTTGCTTTATACTCAGTAAAGAGAGAAGAGGGATGTAGTAGCTTTGATTGAGAAGGGAGACTGTAGCAGCTAATTCTTGAACTGTTGGAGCTGTGCATTAATACCAGCTGCCAAAACTCATCATTCCTCGGGGGGAGGACAGTGAAAATAAAACTAGGGGAGTGCAAGACTAGGGGGCACTTTCTGGTCTTGCAAATCTTGTCCCCCGGTTTTGAGACCCCACATCTTATAGTAATGAATTTGTCAAATCTCTTAGATTGTCTGTCCCATCTAACTGAAAAGCTGCTCATGTTTTTGCTCATCTTTTGGCTAGAAAACATTTACTTTTTCCACCAAATATATTTGGGACCAGCTTATTGCCACTTGCTCTCATGCCAAATTTGGCCTAGAGCCAGAAGTTCCTTTTTCCTTCATGTTATTTATCCTGCTAATATATTTATGCACAGCATTCTGTCCTTCCTCAGCCATCATGCTACTAAGCTAAAAAGCCACGTCTTTTGGGACTTCTTTGTGGGATAGACTTTTTCTGTTCATGCAGTCATGACAGTATTTCCTCTTTGTACACATTCCTCACTGGGGATGAGCTGGGGGCTACCTAATAGTTTGAGGATTCACTTATAATTCTTAAAATAATGTGATTTTTGTCATGTTCCTGTTAGACTTGCCTCTTGCATTTCACTCTAATGTCACATTTGCCTTCCCTTTGGCCCTGTCTAACTGCCATGAATCGTGAGTAGCACTTGGCCTTTGTCTAGGGATGTTCCCATCCTGGAAGCATCCAACATGGAGAAGAAATTTTTACTACATTTTAAGTAAATGACCTTGGACTTCATATTTTTAAATTTCACACTCTCACTCTTATTCCACTCTCTGAGGTCAAACGTTTGTTTCTCCATAACATCCCAGTTCTCCCCTACATTGCCAGAATAACCTAATTCAGCGTCAACAGCACATTTCCCTCAAACTTTCCTTCTCTTTCTGCCAAAGCCTTTAATAAAACCACTAAATGAGGTCACTTCCTCCAGCCTAACGCCTTCACTTTCAACGCAGTCCAGCATTGATGCTATCACGCCTTGGCTGGGGACTTCCATAGTGGCCAAGAGCCAGACTTTGACACAAATATCCCGTGTAGTTGAATCTGTCCAAGGCAGCTGTTTCCATCGGGATGCACTGCGGGAGCTGCCAAACACCCAGGCAGAGATCGAGAGTCTTCAGCGTGGAAGAGAAAGGGCTGGTGGAAATGGGCACATTTGAGGTCTGTACAATTTCCAGTAGCACAGAAAGAAGAGGGTGGTTAGTGAAATCATCAGGCAGCAGGTTGAAACCAGAGGAGGAACTTCTCCAGAGTCTTTAATTCACCCGTGAAGCCCCTGCTATAGAAATGAGGACACTTAAAATGGTAATTAGCTGAGGTGAGGAAGGATTATCAGTGTCTCTCCAGTGGCTGGATGATGCTGCCAGCTCAAGGAGTCCCTTAGCTGCTGACAGCCGGAGTCAAGGGAGGGATGTCTCAGTCCTGGTCCCTCAGCATCCCCTCGTGGCTGATGTCCTACTCAGTGACAGGGACAGGTGGCCCTTTGGGAGATCTTGTGTTCTTATAACAGAATAATAAGAGGTTATATTGTTCAGGCAAGAAGTCTTATCAAGGCAGGTAGCATTCACTGCTAATTCATATCAAAGAAGAGAGACAGAAGGATTTTGAACTCCCGTTCCTGTTCCCAGTGCACAAGGGACTCTTCCATGGATCTGGGAATAAAGAAGATGGGAAAAGACGGTTTAAGAACTGTGTGTAGGGAAAGGAAAACAAGGGGATGGAGGAAAGGAATAACAGACTGTTTTATTTTCAACCTTCCTGAAATGACTGCACTGGAGTCTTCACTGGCTTTGTTTCCAAAGTTGCTTCCTGCATTTAAATTTAATAATGAAAGCCTGGAAAACCCCAAGTCATTAGAAATGTGATAAACTTTCTCCTTATTCAGCAGGTATTTCTGATTACGTGCAGATTGTTATTTTGGGCTTTCCGTAACTTAAGTAGCTGACTTAAAGTATGTAAAAACAAATTAAAATTACCAGGATAAAGTCACGATTTAAGCAATCCAGGTGGAAAGGGTGCAAGAATGTCTATGTGCCCCTCTCCAGCTGCACTACCTCCTCTTCCTCCCCTCAGATCATTGTTTCATTATGCAGATTTGTGCAGGCTGCGTCTTTTGCTACGTTTTTATTGCAAAGCTAATAGCTGAGGCAATTGTGTGGATAAGCAGAGACTTAAATCATTTGGAAACTGTTGAGAGAGGACAGATCTGATAATAATAACCTTCATGGCTGGCAAGTTACAGCTGCTTTTGACAACTTGTAACAACTTGTAACGATGAAGGCTTGTGGTAAAGTTAGAGCTAAATATCTGTACTGTGCCATAGGATCAATTTCAATTCCCAAGTATAAAGCTTCAAACTTTAGAGTGCTTTTATCATCTTTGAGCTTACTTTGTTTTTCTCCAAGTTAAAACGGAGTTGGGTTTTTTTATAAACGTTAGAGTGCTTTTTTTTTCATTCTGGGTTGTTTTTTTTCTTTAACACAGCTTAGTTAATTTATTTCAGTGCAAAGAAAGTGTGGTCTTATTGAAGCCACAGGTGTTTGTCACTTATAGCAGAAATTGCAGAAGTATGTTGTATTAGCATGTTTTGCATCATCTCAGAACATTTTTTATTCTATAGTGGTGACTTCCAGACTGCATATAGGTACCATTATAATAGCACATGACAAAGAGATCTCAAACAGTATATGTAAAAGGTCTCATCAGGATTGTGGTTTGCACCAATAGCTTTATCAAAGAAAAAAATAAGGAAATAAAAAAGAACATAGAGCATCAGTGACAGCACTTGGGTACCCCTGTGTCCCCGTAGAGTGTCTTAAAAGTAGAATGGGTTCAGAAAAGAGCAATGAAAAGTCCAAAAACTCTGCTTCACGGTGAATGATTCAGAAAGCCATAAATTTTCAGAGAATCAGAAGGTTTGGGTGGTTGGGTCACTGTCGTTAACTACCTATAGAAGGTGGAGAGTCTGCTCAAGCAGGGCTGATTGGCCAGGATGAGAAGATTTAGTGGCTGAAAGCTGAAGTGAGACCGGTTCAGATTAGATGCACGTTTAGATTAGAGCAATTAGTGGAAAGGCTTACCAGAGGATGACATGGGCTGCCTTTGGCTTAAAACAAGGATACAGAGAGAGCACATCTTTCTAGAGAGACACAGCATGGCTCGGTGACAAAACCAGACCCAACACAGGGATGGCTGGGTAAAATGGTCCAACCTGGGCAATGCAGGTGGCCACAGAAGAGGATTGCAGTGGCCTGAAATTTAGGAAAGCTGTTCACATTACCTAGCAGTTGACAGCATGCAATCCAAAAGCAGTCAGCAAATAAGGGATAGTGCTGCCTTCCCCACCATCTCTAAGAGAAGGGGAAAATGAGCAGAAGTTAAATGACTTCTGGGTCACACATCAAGCTGGTGGCCAGACTGGGACTAGAGCAGAATCTGCTGCCGGCTTGTGCTGCATTTTGTCAGGCCAACACCTCCCTCCTCTTCCCCAGGCAGGAGCACAGCCTGACCAGAGAGACGTTTGCAGTGCTCCAGCCAAAATTTGGGTTTCTCCTTTCAGTATCTCTCAGAGCCCAGCAAAAGAAGTTAATGTCATGACGTGCATCCAGGTTCATTAATGAGGAGCGTAGCTGGATTAGATGCCTGGTTACTAAGGGGGTGTCTTTTCCAAGCTCCCGGCATTGGTTGGGTCAGCAAACACTTCCCACAGTCGGGGTGGAAGCAGTTGCTTTTACAGCCAGAAGTGCAGTTTACAGGCAAATCCCAGCTGTAATGAAGGCAATCAATTTCAGGTGGTCAAGGTCTGGCTTTTCCTGGGGACAGAAGGGATGTGTGCAAGAGAGGAGTGGGGTCAGACGAGGGGTTAAATTGCACCTAGGTATGATTTGACAATCACTCCCCTGATAACAGCTTATAATGTTTACAATTTGTCTTCTGTTTTGTTTTGTGATTTCAGGAGCAGAAGGCACAGTGTTCCCTAAATCTATAGAAACTCCCAATGTCAGGGCAGACCCCTTCAAGGAACTAAGGTAAACTTTGGAATGTGGTTTAACGGTAACTCAGTGGTGCCTGGTTGGAGTTGTGCGTGTTGCTGGGCCTCATTTCTGCTTTTGCATAAGTGCTTGGGGTTTCACTTTGGAAGGCATCACCAAGAGGATGCCATGGAAGAGAAGGGACCTGCCATGTTTACATGTAATATGACCGAGCTAAAGGCAGTCATGGGTCACAAGAACATCATTTCTCCTCTGCAACATGCTCTGCATACCCTGGGCTCAGCATTTGTAAGAAAATGGAGAAATCTTTTTCTGGTTGTGTAGGGAGGTTCTGAATCACAGGGAGTAGGAGCAGGAAAAAGGATAATGCTCTCTGGCATTATCTGTCTTGCAGAAATGCAAACCCTCCCTGATTTACCCAGGGTCTAGCTGTGCATACATGTAACTGCTGACACTCGCAGAGATGCCGCTTGCTGACAGTGATATATCAGGAGGGAATAAACAGCACAGCTTCGGAGAACTAGCTTTGCCCTTAAGCTAATGCTGGGCATTATATTATTTTTTTTTTAAAAAAAACAAAGTGTGGCACTACAGGTTAGTTTGGATGACTTGTCTCTGAAAAGAGACTAATCATATGGCGTAATAAATTATTGACTGAATCTCCTGGTATTTTCTGACCAAGAGGGCTGTAGGGGTTTGCCATCAATGCTCTAATTGTCCTTCCTTAGCAAAAGAGAGAGAGAGAAGTGAAAAAAAATCTCCAGGAGGACATCTTGTCCTTAGGTCTTGGGTTGCAAACTCTCCTTTTCTGGAAAGTGCTGGGGATGAAGCTATCTTCAGACAGCTGAAGTTGTGCAGGAGCTCTGCAGATTGACTGCGGATGCACGGAGATGGGAGAGGACCTCATTAACTCTCTCTGCTCTAATGCCGGGGATAGTTACAGCCCAGGTAGATCACCGTGGAAGATGAAGAGTATCCTGGCTGCCTTCCCTTGGGTGTATCTCTATCTTTCAGTTTTTCTCTGGAAACACTCTAATTGTTCCCATTTTGTGCTCTGGGGAATCATATGTCAGACAACAAGTGCAGTAGTGGCATGATTTAGTTTGTTGTGAAAGTTTGTTCTCTTTCTCCATACAGTGACTTTAACCCTGCCTTGTGGTTTTCCCAATCTCGGTACACTTCCTTTAAAAAAAGAGGAAAGAGGGTCTTTTCTAGCCTGATGCAGCTGCCAGGGCAGCTCCAGGGTCTGCTGTGGTGGAAGGGCAGAGAGCAGTGGTGCAGGGCACACCAGCCTCCAGTTCTCCAGGCAGAGCAAGCAAACAGAGCTGTAAGTGGCGTGGCTGGATTTGTAGGTGAGGTTCAGGTGACAAAGGCTTTCTGGCAGAGCCCATCTTTGCTGATACTTTCAGAAAAAAAGAAAAAAAAAATCAATATAACAATTAAATTATCCAATAGCATCTAAATAACTTAGAAAACCAAGTTCTGTTTTCAGTAGCACAAGAGAAATGCAAGATTTCGGTTCAAGTTTGTGATTACTTGGGACTTTTCTAAACATGGGAAGGGAATTTAATCCAAATAAGTGTAGGGTGTCATATTAGAGGGGACAAATGTGAATTAAAATGGCCGTAATCTGATTGAGTATGCTTCCGTTCCAAAGAGAATTAAGCTAAATGAAATTGAAATGAATTAATGGCAGCATCCCTGTGAGGGGTTGATTCAGTGTATTTGGTCTGCTTTAAATTCATGTTGTTATTTCACTTGTTTTATGTAGAGAGCTGTTAGATAACCGACTTTGAAATTTGTGGACTGGGTAAAAAAAATCCTGTAAAAATCTGGTGGGTTTTTTTCTTTTTTTAAGGGGTAATCATTGAATAGCGTTTACTTTGTGGGGGGGGAAATGTCCCACAGGGTTCTAAAACATTTTGTGTGCTTCTGAAAATTTTATCTGGGGAAAAAGAAATGTTTTTTCCTCCACCCTGAGGAGAAAAGAGCCAATGGTATCAGAGTGTTGAGAAAGCAGGGTTTCCCAAGAGCAAATGCTCTATTCCTCCGCAAACCAAGAAGAATCACTTTCTCTCTCTACATGTTGGAGCACTGGCTGCTTCTTAGGTAAAATGGTGCCTTTTGGGTACAGTACAGAGTTCACAGAGGAAATAATCTTACCCTGGGGAGACATTTTTTGGCACCTTCCTATTTTGATAGCAATGTGTGTGCATAAGGTGTCCTTTTGGCCTATTTAGAAAGATGCTGCAGTGAAATGGGACTGCATGAGATTGCAGCCTGTGGGTCCCAAGCTGTCATACACTGCTAGGAAAGCAGCATTGTAATCACGCACTCAGTAGCTGGTCTGATTCTAAAAGATCTTTTTTTTTCTGTATTAAATAGTGCAAACTTTCTTTCCTCCTTAGGCTGAGTTGTAGGGGTGGGAAAGTGCACATTCAGCTATTGCAGGCTGTCACCAGGCGCCACCAACCTCCATCGCTCTTTCTAGACCAAATGGTTACCATTAGTTACGTGCTTTAGCCATTTGCTCTTTTCAGTACCATACTGACTCCCACTTCTTTAGGAGACTTCAAAATAAGGTGACAGCGACTGTCACTACCAGAAAGAGAGGAGACCAACTGCTCCTGTCACCACTGGGAGTCAGACCATCTGTATGTCTTCTTTCCCTTCCTCCTCTCCTTAACAGACAGACTGATTTCCCCTGCAAGATAGGCAGTGCGCCATCGTGCCAGTCATCTCTTATTGCTTTGCTTCTTTTCCTCCCATCTCCCAAAGGCCTCCAGTCATGCCCATGTGTCACAAAGACTGACACGCTTTGAGTGGTGGTGTACACATTCTCAACAGACGTTCTGTCCCCATTTAGCTGACAGACGGTCTTCGGTTCATATAGCCTTCCATTTATTAGTAACTGCCTGCTCTACAAGGTGGTCACCATCCTGAAGAATAGGCAAGGGGTGGTCCTCTTTTCCGAGTGCCCTTTTTAAAACACTTTTGTGTGCAGTGGTTTAGATGGAAAAAATTCAGGTGGCAATATGTGCAGAGCTTTTTCCCCACAAGCTAAGCCCATCAGAGAGCCACAAGGCTGCACAAACTGGTTTGGTGCTTGTTTGAGCCAGGTCTGGACTTTGCTACTGAGTCTTCTCGGGAGGTGGTCTCCTAAGTTGTGGAGAGACTCTCGTGTCCGAAAACAAGTTCAGCCCAGTATCAGTTGTAGTAAAAATGCCAGAGCTCATAAATGACTTGTTCAGTGCAGGGTGTTATCAGCAGTTCATGTTTCCTATTTGGGATCTAGAACATTCTTTAATAATGACCTAGGAACTATGGATGGTTGAAAGACTATTTAATATAGTTCTGCGAACAGAACTATATTTCCATGTTTTTATTTATTTAAAGTAATTCCAGACTCTTGAAAGTTTTGGTGGCTGTTTATTGGGTTCTAAACTGATCAAAACAGTAAAAAAGAAAACAAACAAATTCAAATTATATTAAAATTCTTGGAATGTTTAATGTTGCCATTCAGTATCATCCTGAAATAGTTTAGGGGGAGGACTGGGGAGATTTGTTTTGACTTTGAAATATTTGTACTCATCTGAATTGACTTTTTAAAGCAGGTTGGTGTCTTTGACATATGGTAATGTATAAAAGTTGAATTCAAGATGACCTTTTCTCTCTGGATTATTTTAGCAGCACCCAAGTAACTTGGCAAGAGCCTGTCTTAAGAGCATCTCCTTGACACTGGCAGGAATCACCTGCCTTTCTCTATTTAACTTCTTCCAAAAGGCAAATATGTGCCAAGGAGGCTAACAGAAGTTGTCCAACAGACACAAGATCAGACACAAGATCTTGCGAGGTGAGGGATAAAGCCTATAAAGCCTAGACTAGCCAAGGAGTAAGGAAAAAGGGAAATAATTTGAGAGGAGGGGATTAAAAAGTGGATGATCCAGTACAAGAAAAAAATGTCAGGAGGATGTTGTTAAAGTGCTAATTGCTGGAAGCTGGGAGGCTGTATACGTGATGGGCGCTGCCTTACAGCATCTGTCCCAGTCCCTGGGCTCAGAGCGAGTCTAAGAACCTCCCCAGAGTCCAGGTCATGCTGGACAGGGGCACCCGGAGTGTGCAAACCTGGTTTAGGACATTTCTGCTCCCAGAGTTAAATAAAAAGAAATCAGACAGCATGAAGTTCACTCCATGAGGCGCAAGCATACACCTGGAATTCATCCACAATTATTGTAGGTTAAAAATGCAGGTTAAAAAATCCTGCTTATCCAAGGCCAGGAAACCAAGGGATGACTGTTTTTCCTGTAATGCACAAATATAGTTAAGAGAGAATTAATCCCTTGGGCTTGAAGGGGTAATTTTTGACCAAAGTTAATTACGAAGCACTGAAAGTACCAAATGGCAGATGAAATGCACTTGCAGCTTGATTTTATTGGTGCAATTCTACCTTACCATGTACTGTACTGAACTATCCAAATAGTCCAAGTGAGACCTATTGTAACAAAAGCAATTTAAATACAATGCTCAGCTAATGCAACAATACTCATTTTGCAAAACAATAATTCTTACCGAATTGAGGTTTCTCTCAGCTGTGTTTCACAAGGCAGCACAAACATTTTCAATAAGTACAAGCACAAATAATGTTTCTGTCTAAAACCCATTACATTAATAAAGATTAAGAGAATAACAATTAGAGGAAGTGCAAAAAAATAAATGGTATGAAAGAGGAAGTAATTGGTGGGAAATGGAAGTCGTTTGCAAGGACTAGTGATACTGAAACACTGTTTAGTTTACAGCAAGCACTTGGGGATTCCTGTGAAGTGTCAGCAAGAGAGAAATGGCCAATGTAGCCTTGTGTCTAGCTGGTGTTATTTTCCAATTGATTTACCAAAAAGGATGCAATTCTTTTCTCTGTTATACCAGTGCAAGCCCAATAATTCTGGTAGTCCTACCAGCTTAAAAGACAACAGACTTTTGCCTTGGGATGTGCTTTCCACTTGTAACAAATGTATTTTCATATGACACAGGTGGGTTGG